GGAAGGAGAGAATGTTTCCCCTGTGAAAGACAAAGGCAGTGGAAATAGGGAGGGAAGAGCCGATTTAGGTGACCTGCCTTTTTTTGAGAGAGAATCAATATAATTTAGTGGTTTACCAGATGTGGAAGTAAGAGATAAACCTCTTTAAGGGGAGCAGTTGGTTTATGAGCACTACTTAAATATAACAGGAGTGAAGAGTCTGTTCTGTAACTCTAAGCAGGTCTCCAGCCAGGGTTCCCCTGGAAGTGTGACCCTCAGGGACCCCACTGTGAGCTCCTTGGCTGGGTCGTTCAACCAGGAGGTATTAATGGTTCACTTTTGACCCGCCCTGTGGAGAGACACAAAGAAGTAGAAGATAAAGTACCTCAGCCCCTCCCCACTAAAAACAACTCCTCCCCACCCACACGCAGCCTCACCCCCTGCTGTAGCTAAAAGATCTAAAGCTGTCAATCAAAAGGTCACAGGAGATAGAATTTAGCTGGGTGCGTGGGATTGAAATAGAATGAGATATTCCTTTCAGTCTGAAAGACAGAACGCAGGTAATAAAGAGTGCCACAGTCATAAAGTAAGGAGGAATCCAGAGACAGCACGTGTCCCCGCATCTTTTTCTTGATGCCTTCCTGTTTTACAACCTGGACGTAAATATTGAAAAGAGACTCTGCTAGCTCCCCATGGCCTTCCAGAGCTACATCCTCTGCCCACTGCCGGGCACGTCTGGACCCACTTCTTCTCTGTGCTTTACCAGCCACACTCAGCACAATCCATGCTTCTTGGGCCCAGAGCTGATTCTGGAAGTGGGGCAGAGATGGAAATGGTGTTTCTCTCTTTCCTGTGGGATCTTAACTCAAAAATATCCATTGAGTGTGTGTTATATACATCAAGCAGAGGACAACTGTGCTTGGCATAGTGTTTCAGAACAGTGTTTTCCAGTGTGGGTCATAAAACTAAGCAGGTTGTGACATGTACTTTATATAATTTTATATAAAAATATAGCGAAATAGAAGGTATCCAAAGTAAGAATAACTTATGAAATTTGTGCCCATTTTATATGTATTTGTAATCTCATGATGTAAAGTATATTTCTGACTGGATTATGGCCAAATTTTTTTTTGAACTGTCGTATCTGGACACCTTATTGAGGTTTAGTTCGTTTGAATGAGAGGTTAGCACAGGCCAGGAAATCAAGCCCCATGCAGTATGGGGGCTTGATTCTACTTGTCACATTCCTACAAATGGATTTTTAGAGCACAACCTTTTTGTAAGATGGAGACACCTGCACTAGGTAGGTTCTTATTTCTAACTTTAGAGAAAAATTAGCAGACATATTGGTTTCCTTGGCTACTCTAACAAATACCACGAAAGGGAGGACTCAGAACAATGGAAACGTGTCATCCCACTGGAGGTCGGCAGCCCCAAACCACCAGCATGTCGGGGCCAGGCTCCCCGGAAGGCGCTGTGCAGTCTGTTCCAGCCGCCTCTGCAGCTTCTGCTGGCTGGTGGCCGCAGCCGAACTCCCTGTCCACGTGCCGTTCTCCCTGAGCGCCTGCCTGTCTCTGCATCCAGATTTTCCCTTTTCTCAAGGACACCACTCTACTAACTTCATTTTGACTGGTTCACTTCCGTAAACTCCCTGTTTCCAAATAAGGTCACTTTCTGATGTACCAGCAGTTAGGGCGTCAGCATATCTTTTTCAAGGGACATGATTAAACCCATAACGATGTATTTCAAATTTCTGCTCGGCACTCAAGAAATTGGTGGGGGGAGAAATAGAAAGTGGTGGAAATAGTTTTCTGTCTTATCGAGGGGAAAAGTTCTAAATATTCAGAAGTCTTGTTTTGTCTCCAAGATACTATCACTTAGTGTCGGCTAAAAATGCATGTTCTGTGAATATTAACAGCTTTAGCTCTTTACATTTACCCTTTAATCAGGAAAATCCATTTGCCTTTGTACTTCAATCATTTGATTTTATTTCTACTGGCTACTTATTGCATTTTCAATCACAACATACAAATAATGAAACGGTAAATGAAACTGTTTACAATAAGGAAGTATATATATATTTACAAAGTTACGCCCCCAAATTAAAACAGAAAATGCTTAACTGTGATTCAGTCTGAAAACTTTCACGTTTGTTTTCTAAAAAGAACCAGGAGATTGTGTTGTTTTCCATGTTGCCTGAAGGGGCCAAACCCAAAACCCTGAGCAGCAGAGCACTGGTTGCTACGTCCCTGCCCGACTGGCCTTGCCCGAGACCGTGGATAAGTCGGAAGTGCTCCAGAGAGTGTGGTGCTTCGTGTTTTGGAGAGAGAGGAAAAACGTGTACCTTCACTCACCTGATCATGCTCTTAGAAAATCCTTCATAGCACATTCTGTTGCAACGGAAGGAAAAAACCTGAATTCTGTGAAAATATTTATTTAAGACTTTTAATTTTACCCTTTCACTTGTCCTTCACTTCTTTCCCTTTTGCTTTGTTTTCTTTTTCAGCCACCATAGAGATGGTTTTCCTAGTTTCTTCAATAAGTAGACCTTGGTCCTTAGCATTTACTTATTTTTCTGTCCTCATGGAACACAAATATTTCTTCTAACTCAAATCACTTGAAAATATATTTAAAGTGTGTTACTAAATATGCAGATGATGTTAATTATTTTGTTAGAAAGCCCCACTAGGCAATTAGAAGGTGGACTAATTGGAATGTTTCGAAGAGAATTGAATGGTCTGATGGTTTGATCCAGTAATTGAAAGTCCAGTCTGAATACCTCACACTGGGAATTCTCACAATAGTATTTGGTTTTTCTTAGACATAGAAAACACCATGATTTTCATGATTTCAGTTAGCTGCTCTAATTAAATTGATCAGCACTGCATTCTGTGGCTTCAGTTTAGAAATGACTGCAGCTCGTGAAGACTCTAAGGCTGCATTCACCAGTGTTGCACCACGTTGAAAAGTACACTAGACAGGACCCCGCTAAACCCCTGATGTCTGTGTTATCGTCATGCTCATTTGTAGCTTCTTAGGTTTGGACTGTTGCTCGGGTTTATTTGATCAATGCTTTCCCCACGGGTGGTGCTGGGAGAATATAGTGCCGCCCACCTGAGGACGCTGGGCACCTGAGTACCTGACACACGTGAGTCGATTGCCCAGATCTCTCAGTGTATGTTTAAATGTTTTTCTTTTTAAAGAAGCAAATTAATTAGCTGCTTAAGCTTGGCCGTTATTCAGAGTCAGCAAACATAAATAATTAAAATGTGAGGTTTACACTGGTATTCATAGAGGACACTGAATGAACTCCAAGTCGTTAAAGTTTGTCATTGGCTCAATGTCATGGCACACTCCCTCTTTCATTCACATGACATGTGCTTATTTTTAAAAATTAAAGTGAATCAGAATTCTCAATTTAAAATTTAGGCAAAAATGACATTTCGTATCATTGGATATGCCTGAGTGACAGGAGACCCAAAACTGGCCTAAATCACTTCTGGAAGTAGGTGTCTGGAGGCGTAATAATAGCCCTGCACCCACTTTGCTCGGATGTAAAAATGGCCGTCTTTTCAAATGTTTTGCATTCTGATGTGTAAATTTTGTGGATAAGTTTATTTTCTCAATTCTATTTGGTAGAGTTGCCCTTGGCCACTTTTCCTTAAAATCGTTTTTAAAGTCAGTGTTTTAAATTGGTTTTTAGAATTACTTGATTTAATCCATTTGAAATCAATGCTTTAGTTTCAGGATGTGTAGCTTTATAAAGATTACATTACTAAACTCCATGCATTTCATACTTTTATGAAAGGGGAAAGAAAAATATGCCAATTAACTATCAAAGTTGATTAGTGTTCACTACAGTACCCTTGTTAATTTTCATTATAATTCCTTACATGTTAGAGTTAAGGATCTGTTTTGAACAAAGCAGTCTTTAGTACGGCACTCGTCATGTAACGTGCAGAGGCAATTTTTCTAAAATAAAACCATAACAGGTTTTTAGTTACAGCCTTTTCACAGAATGTTGATCATAATTTGTAATTTTGACACCGAATCTTGATTCGGTGAAACAAACTTAATTCGGATATTTCATATATTGAGGGGTGTGGCTGCTATAAGCCCAACTTCTGTGCTCGCCTCAGCAGCACGTGCACTGAAATCGGAACGACACAGAGAGGATTAGCGTGGCCCCCGCGCAGGTGACCTGCAAACTCGTGGGGCTTTTTTTGAAAACCCTAATTTGATGTGAGTGCACAGTCAAAAAAGTTCAAAAACAACTCCAGTAGACACTGAAGGGCAGAGAGAATCATTCATTCTTTGTTTTGAGTTCATTTATTAGAAGGAGAAAAACACGTTAAAGAAAGGAAAATCTATTTTATTGTCAAAGATTATAGATTTCATTGTCAATAAAATATATTGTCAAATAAAATATATGCGAGAATAAAATACTTTTATATTATGCTCCCTATTGCTTCTATTTGCCTCAAGAATGTAAACTATTTTGATGATTTCATTTATGTTCTTTCATATTCTCTACTCTCGTCAGTCCTCCTGTGTGCTGTTTACAGCTGTGCTTCGTGTTGTTAGGGCGTCATTTTTGAAGTGGCTCACACCTTAACAGAATTTCAGGGCCTGTTTCTTACTTTCATCATCATGTTAATAAGCTATAGTAGGCTTTATGGAAATAACTGGGCATGTAATCATTTTAAAAATTATGTGTAATATATGAACACTTGAACTGGAGCTGTAGAGCAAGGTAGTAAAAAGCTGCATCCTGAACGTCACCATGTGGATTATTTTTGCCTTAAGCTCATTTAGAAAGTAGCCTCCCTTGATGGTCTCCCATGGAGAAGTCATTGACTCTGGTTAGGGCCGAGGTAGAGTGTGTTTTGCTAATCTTCCTGCATTGTGAGTTTAGCTCTAATGTGTCAAAACAAAATTTGCAATGGGTAGGAGAGAGTTTTAGTGGAATCTACCTGTTATAATAATAACAGAAATTATATTCAAAATTTATTTTTTTTTAGTTCACAAGACGATGAAACACCACTGTCACCTTTCTATTTGAGGTATTTATTTGACTTTTGTTGGTCCAGTACAGGGAGTGGAGGAGGGTGAAGTCTTCTTTGGGTTTATTTGCCCATTTTAATTTTTTTTCAATAGAATATTCTCCACCATGGCCAGACTGAGCTTATTGGAACCCCTCACCGTGTTGTTCATGCTCTGGTTTTCCTCTCTTTGGTTTAACAAATCTTTAAACAAATTTTAGTATCATTGAAAACACTCCGTTGAAAGAACATGCATGTGTATATGTACAGCCCATGGACACAGAAAACAGTGTGGTGAAGGCCAGGGGAGGACGGGGCTGGGGAGAGGGAGGTGGGGGGGGGGGATGGGGAACACTGCTAATAATGTCAACAAAAATAAATAAATAAGAGTTTTTGTTTTAAATTCAGAAATGTTAAGCTAGCCATTTTAATTCCAAAGATTGCCTGATATTTAGTCTGTGACCTGAATTTTAAAAATCTCTCTTCTGTGTGTACGTGCAGGTCATAGAGGACTGTGAGCACAAGGCTTACTGAAGAAGCCTTAACTAGCGTGAAAACGTTTTTACGTAGTAGTGGCATGAGAAGCTAAATATTCAGTAAGTCTGTGGAGTTCAGGATTATTTTCTAAAGCTTAGAATGCTAAAATAGTAACTATTAAAGCAGAGAGGTTTACAGAGTGTTAAAGTGGGTCACTTCTCTCTGGACTAAACTGTTTGCTATGTTGATGTGATTTTTAGTGAACCGCTCAACTTAGGAATAGCCCAGAACCAAGTTTTTCTTACTGCATCTTTCCTCGCTACCTATCTACCTGAGAGGATTATCAAATATAACAACCATGTAAATTAAAGTTAAAATTGCTCAAATTTTTAAAATATCTTTTATCAATCTTGAAATCATTGTTTTAAAAAAGAAGTGTCAGGCTATGTGATACATAGTTTATGTATTTATTTTTGAATCCAGATTTTTAAATCATTATATTTAGATGTTAATTCAACCACCAATAGTTCAGAAATGTGTCATAAGACTTCAAGCTTAGCCGAGTAAATGCTTTTCAGTAGTTTTCTGGGCTTTAGTGACTTGAAACATATTACATAATCCGTTTGTGGCAAGAGGGAACATTTGAGGTTTCAGTCGAGGCAGCGTGGCGATCCATTTGATTCATCTTGGTTTCCTGCCAACCAGATCAGCATCTTCTGGTTCCTAGTGTGTCTCAACTGTGCAATTAGTGTAAACACAGGAGATGTTGTTGCCAGGCCCATGGTGTCTCTGGCATTTGTTATGTAAATACACACAACAGTATCAAACAGGTGATTATCATATATTAATGGGAATGAAATTTTATATGGTACAGAAGATTACAACACAGGATCTTGGCAAGTAATGAGAACTACTGGTTCTCTGAATAATTCTTATTTTTATTACTCTGAATAACATCAATCTCTGTTTTATTTGGTACTAAATTTTTTTAACCATTATTATAAAAAGCAGATATGAAAAAATGGGTTAGGTTAATCAATCATAAATTTTCGAGGACATATATAGTGTGATAATTTTTGTGATTACCTAGGCTAATAATTCAGTCTTCAAACAAAAGTTCTATACTTGCAAAATGAAAGTAAAAGAATATAAAGAAAATTATTATATTACCTAACTTGATAAAAGCTATTTCACCTTTTAATGTTAAGAGTCATAAAAATTAAAGTATGGTAAAGGTTAGAAAAAAGAATGAATATGTATACTAACCCCCATTTACAGAAGAGGTAATGTTGAAAAAAAGGAAGTTACCAGCAGGAATTCTTTTTACATGAGGGAAATTTAAACTTACTAGAGCTATTTTAAAAATGCAAAAATCATAATTACTAGGCCTAAAATTAAAATTTCACATGTAGCTTCTTTTTCTGAATAACATTATTTGATGGTCCTAGATATTACGTTAGAATTAGGTTGTTACAGCCCTGGCTGGGTATCTCAGTTGGTTGGAGCCCATTCACCAAGGTTGTGGGTTTGATCTCTGGCACAGACAAGAATCAACCAATGAATGCATAATTAAGTGGAACAAAAAAATCTCTCTCTCTCTCTCTCTCTCTCTCTCTCTCTCTCTCACACACACACACACACACACACACACACACACATAAAGGACCTCATATATAAAGGGCAGACAGGCATCCAGCTATTGGAGTGGAGACAAGGTGCATTATTTATAACAAGACAGAGTCTGTGTTTGGAGTGGAGGAGTGAGATGGAGAGCACTGGGTGTACTATTGGAGATTCCAGACCTTCCTGTGGCCAGGGGAGGGGGTGGAACACAGACCAGGGAACCAGAGAGGCCATTCCAGTCATTGCCTTGCTCCACTTTCCACCTCGTAGAATTTCAGTGTCTGTGATTTCAGGCCTCTTTTAACAGGCATGGCTGAACCATGTGCTTGTCTAGTGTACATTTATTTAAATTGCCTTTGTCTCTTCTGTAGTACGGTAGGGCTGTTATAAATAGACATGCATTCATATATTCTTTTTCTAGATTAATATCTTCTGTGATGAGAACTTTGTGTTCTTTAATTTCAGTTCTTCTTCAACCTAACTCACCACAGAAACATTTGTTCTTTTTTTATAAAGGAAAGAAATAGTAGCTACAAATCTACACCTGCCACTGTCCCATGTGGCAAGTTTATGGCAGCTGCAGTAGCTCAAACAGTAGGTGTCATTGTTCCCCAGATGCTCATTAGAGATTACCTGCCCTGTTGAGGTTATTAAAGAAATCAAAGGGAAGGACAGGTAATGCCAAACCCTTAGTGAGATTGCCACAACATAGACACAAACAGGCAAACTTCACCTGAAGAACATTCTTGGCTAGGACGATGTCCATACCTTGACCTCTTTTATAGTCTAGGCTGGAGTCTCAGCAAAGGAGGCCCTGACTCACTTGCTCATATTGCCGTCAAAGCAGCTTTTGGTATAGGTGTTCTCCTGTGCCCTGTTCAGCCTGTTATTATCTGGCTCCCTTTGCCTAGCAGGCAGTCAGATCTAGCTGGGATCTGTTGCTAGGTCTGCTTTTGTTTGTCGAGTCGAGTCTTCAGTGTCTACGAGCCTGGGTTTTGATTTTTATGGTTATTTCAGCATGAGGAGACACTCGGTGTCACTAGTCATCACTGAAACATGAATCAAATCTACAATGAGATTCACACCCTTTAGGGTGGCTTCTATCAAAAAAGATAAAAAGTGTTGGCAAACATGAAGAGAAGTTGAAACATTTGTGTTGCTGGTTGAAATGCACAATGGTGCAGCTACTAGGGAATATAGTAGGAAGGTTCCTCAAAAAAATTAAAGACAGAATTACCATATGATCTAGCAATTCCACTTTGGGGTATGTACTCAAAAGAATTGAAAGCAAGTTTCCAAAGAGATGTTTGTACACCTGTGCTCCTAGCGGCATTAGTCATGATGGCCAAAAGATAAAAGCAAATCAGGTGTCCACCAACAGGTGAATGGATAAACGAAACACAGTATATATGCATAATGGAACATTATTCAGCCTTTAAAGAGAAAGGCACTTGTGACACAAAACACAACATGGGTGAACCTTGAGGACATGTATGCTAAGTGAAATAAGGCCATCACAGAATGGCAAATACTGTTTGATTCCACTCATATTGGGTAACTAATACAGTCACATTCCTAGAGATATCAAATAGAATGGTGGTTGTCAGAAACTGGAGGGAAGGGAGATGTTGTTTAATGGGGACAGAGTTTCAGTTTTACAAGATGAAAAGAGTTCTGGAGATGGAGCTGGTGATGGTCGAACAGCAATGTGAATGTGCTTAGTGCCACTGAACTATACACTTAAAACTGTTTAAGATGGTGAGGTTTTATATATGTATTTGCCAGAGTAAAAAAAAATTATAGGAAAAAATATCATGCGGTATTTTCATGCATACCCCTAGCTGAAAACTGCTGAACCAGACCAGCAATATAATTATTTTGTACTGAAGAGTGGTTATAAACTTTACTATGTTTTATCATACAGTTCTTTAGGGATTCAATGTTGAGTTTCTGACATCTAAGAATCACTAGTCATATTTTTTGAATAGTATAAGTACAGATTCTGGGTTTACTTCTATCAATGCTAATTAAAATATTAAGCATATGTTTAGGCTATATTGAGAAACAAAGGTAAATTATATAAATGTTTATATTTTTATGCCTGTCCTCATGTTTTTCTTCAGAATAGAAGAGTAAAGGAAAAACTTACTTGTAGAAAATGGCATCTTTGGAGCCAACCTGTCTAGATCTCTATCTGCTTATTCTTCAGTTTCCTTGCCTCCCCAGATTTCTGACTATAGGAACTTCAGCTTTTATTAAAATGTAAACTGCTATATTAAAGAAACAGCAGACTAGCTTTGCCTCATATAACTACTCCCAGCTTCCCATTTGAATTCTAATGATGATATAAAAGACAGAATCTAGAGGCAGCTTTACAACAACAATAAGAAAAATCAACATGTCACATCATCAGTGGGGTGAATTGAGAAACATAATTTTGCCTTACAGATTTCATGTTCCATTATCTGAACAATACAGTGACCACAAAGAGGGCAGGGGGAAAAATAACCGACTTGGATTCTTTCCAACATCTACTGCACAGGCCAGAAAAGCAAGGGACATTCCTCCAACTGAGCCCAAACTTATTCCTGAACCATGCAGAGCTGAGTCGGATATTCTTTTCACCTCTCTGCCCCCATCACTTTCTTTACTTCACTTTTTATGTAAAATATACATAGAATATTCCATATGCAAAGTAGCAGAGAAGAAAGGGTACCCCAATGGCATGGCCAGTCACCTAACTAAAGCATTTGAGAGAGGGATAAAGGCAGGAAGATTATCATCGGATTTAATGCATGTTTTCAATTGTACTACGTATAAAGACAGACTACAAATTTGTCTCTGATTCTTCAGCTTAGACATAAAATTGGACCAGTAGCAAGAAGTATGCATTTCAGATTGTTCTAGGACAGACTCAGATA